TTCTTGGACAATATTGGGTTGTAGTCCATTGGTGTTACAAACATTTTTAAAAATTATTTCATTTTCGCCATCAAAAGTCAATATTTTGTTTTTTATATCTATAAATCTATTTGGATCAAAAAATGACAATGCTTGAAAAATATTCTGATTTTTAAAAAATCGATCCTCAATAGCCATTGATAATTTGTCAATTGTTATACGAAAAACTTGTACTCTGTACAGCTTTATAGGGTCATTAATAACTACTTCATCATCGAACAGTTCTCCTGACATTTTTTTTATCTTGCGTTTTCGTTGTTCAGGTAATTTGGTTTCGATAAAAACATTTGGAAGTATTTTAGTTCTCTGTTCCATAAATTGACTAAATTTTTTGGCTTGTTCATAAATTATGTCGAAGTCATTTGAAATAATTTTGATTTCTTTTTGAAAAGTTACAATGTGATTCCAAGCAGCTAAATAATCTAAACATTTGGTTTGTAAATACTTAGAAACAAAAGTAGCCTTACTAAACATATGAAGGTATAAAAAAGAAGTAAGCATAGTATCCAATTGTGTCCATTTATCCAACATATTTCTAGCTTCAGCTGCCGTTTCTCCATCAGCAATATTGACATTACCTATTGAGTGTAGTACTTCTAGTAAACAAATTCCCTCTTATCATTTTCTTCATATACAGAATGAAATATTGCTTTAAAAGCTCCATCTTTACTGTTCCATTTTGTTTCCCCTATTTTTTTCAATTTTATAAGTTTTTCATGTCCAATTTTTTTTTTATTAGATAGTTTTACACAAATTTGACCTTTTATAGGAACGTGAAATAAAGACTGCAGTTTTTTGACAATTGTTAGCTTATGTTGGTAACGCTGATGTCCAGTCATGTCTTAGTCGTTACCACCGATGATGACCTAACCACCGAAGCAGTTGATGCTGGACTCGCTCAACATACTTGTGTCTTTGTCGCCATGTCAGTATTTGATAAAGTCAGATTTATGCAGCAGGGCGACCCAGCAACCAGAGAGCTGATACAACAGCCCGAGCAAATAGGACCAAAAACAAAACGGGTATCAGGTGATATAGAACATTATAAAGTAATTAATGGCCTGTTACATCGTAGGTATGAGGGACGACTACTATTAGTGGTTCTTAAAACAATGCGCAAGGGAATCGTCATAGCTGCACATGACTATGGAGGGCATTTTGCATTAGACAGGACGGTGGCAAAAATAAGTAAAGATTTCTGGTTCTCACGACTGCGCCGCTACGTACGACAACACATAAATATGTGTTTGGAATGCCTAACACACAGGGCCTGCTACACCCAATCAATACCACCTGGAAAAAGACCGTTTCAAGTCATCAATGTGGATCATCTCGGACCCTTTGAGACTCCCTAGCAGCAAAATCGGTATCTGTCTGTTATAGTTGACAATCTAACAAAGTACGTACACTTATACCCTTGTAAAACCACTGATGCAAAGTCACTGGTGCGCATCATGACAAAATTCATTGAAACGAGAGGTATACCAGACTGGATAATTTCAGATCGTGGATCTTGTTTTAAATCTCGGTCATTTGAACAGTTCTGTACTACTCATAACATAGAACATATAGTCAATTCCACAAGGCACCCACAGGCAAACGGGCAGGTGGAACGAGCAAATCGAACAATAGTGACGCTGTTAAGTATGCCATTAGGCGATCAACGATGTTGAGACTCCAAAGTCAATGAGGTTGAACGCATGCTAAACTCAGCAGAGAATAAAACCACAAAGAAGACACCATTTTCAGCCCTACATGGTTATCAACCACGTTTTCACCAGGGAGTGCTGGGCTCACTATCCCAAAACAATAATGAGTGGAAGGAGCCAACGGAAGTGCAAAATGAAGTCAGTAGTAATATACTTGAAGGACAACGCGCAATGTTCAATGCTTATAACCGTAAACATATACCCGGTGTTAATCTTGACCTGGGCGAAATAGTAGTAATGCAGAGAGCACCAGCATTAGGCCAACCCTCTAAACTACAGTCTAAGTACAGGGATAATCCACTACAAGTAATACAAAAGCTGAACGGAGATACCTATAGAGTAGTCGAAGTTGCACCAGAGGGACAATCCACCTATGCTACCACAGCACACATTTCTCAACTTAAGTCATGGAAGGTGCTTGACCAGGAAGATGATGTGGACAGCTTTGAGGGGACTCCCA